TGAGTTGGGGGATTTCTTCCAAGCAATTTTAACTGTTACTTCACAAAATACAGGACTCTGGGCCGCCTTCACTTCCCAAAGTTAACACTGGAAAAATAAATTGCAGAAGTGTCAACCAATATTTGAACAGGTCCTCTTTGGAATCCCACATTTTTTAGATTTTCTAAATCTGTTTAAAAGAAAACCTGCCTTTAACAAAAAAAAGAAAGGGGGGGGGAGGAAAAGAAAGAGAGAAGTATCTTTTCTTCATTCTCCTAAAACTGAACTGACTGAAAGGATATGGGCTGGACCCTTTTAATGCCCCACCCATCAATATCTTTAGGGTCAAATTTAACAGTTAAAAAAAGAAAAACAACTTTACTCAAAATCCGGTTTTGAGACTTGCAGATACTTTCTTCCCCAGACTTGCAGATTTTTTTTCATTTTTTTAATCTCCATTATAAAGGTTTTTGCCCAGGTTTACTACAATGTAAGGAACAGATATATAAGCATTTCCTCACAGTTCTAGATTTTATTGTTAATCGTTAATAATAAAATGATGGCTACTTTAAAAAGTCAAATAAAACCAATAAAAAACATGGTCATTAGAGTATTATATACACACATAACAAAACAGCTTAATACAATTATATCACAGTTTTCTACTGTATCAAAGAGAGCAAAGAGATTCTGATTTCAACTTCAAATAGTCACTTTATATTTACTGTAAAAAAATTAAATGAAATTTTAAAAAAGCAATCCTCAAGTCCAGATGTAATCCCTGATATGTTAACTGCACAGAAAACACAACTTTTGGGAGCAACTGTAAGCCACAGAAGGAACAAATTATTTCTGATGCAAATTCTTATCCAGCAGGAAGAGACTGGCTTCCTAATCTCCAGGCTGCTTTTGAACATAGGTACATTCCCTCATCTCAGTTTTTTCTTGAATTTTTCATTCCTGTATCTTGTGTAAATACGTGCTCCAGAAAGTTTCACATGCATTTTCTATAACCTCCCATCTTCAGCATATCTAACGCAGATATCAGATGCTCATTTGTATTGCTACAGCAGCCTCAGTCTACAATCTTGTGAAATATTTATTCAGTGAAACGGGGTGATGTCACAGCAGCATGTCCAGTTCAGAAACTCGTTCTCGGGACTTCCTATAGTGCTCTGCATGGCACAAATACAGTAAGCATATGGACTTTTTTATACTAATGGCACTGACGTGAAAGCACTTCAGAGTTAAACTGTACATCTGGAGAGGGGGACTACTGTGATCTAGTTGTGGTTCATAAAAAAAAGGTATTAAAAAAAAACAACAGGACTTGAGTGCAGCTTCCTTTACATAATGTGCATTGACAATGCAAACCAGCCTTCTTCTTTTGGCTTTTCCACCTGCAAAAAGAGAAACCAGTTGAAATTCATACATCATAAATTTCCCACAGACTTGCTAGTTAGTGCTGGCCTGTGTAGGATTGCTACGTATCAGTTCACTGATACGTAGCAATTGTCTCCCATAGGCATCACAGAGGTAGTCACACCACCTGCTTTAGAGACCTCATTTAAGCCACGTCTACCTTAAGTATTCCAAATTTCCCCTCTGGAGATGAATACTTTGCTGTTAGGATAGGGAGTCTTGGACCCTAACTTTGTTTCTCTTTATTAATTTAGGTTATTTTGGACATCAGGAAAGACAGTATTAATATCTCCTCATGGTTGCTTTCAAGCATACAAACAGATCTATGACTGGTTTACCAGACTGTACTACTGCCTGGAGTTCCCCATGAAAACATCCTGCTGCAGTCTATTCTTCTCTTTGCACATCAGGAATCAGAAAACCAGATCGGTGACTTTTCTTTGCATTTGGATTTATTTATCCTTCAGCAACTGACTTGTGCAACGGCTAGGTAAGAGCTCGCCTGCCTCTTATATGTGGCTCTACCAGTACACCATAATGATTACTTGAAACTCTCTGCAGCCACCAGTGAAAGACTGCCAGAGGTTCACAGTTCTAACACATCAAGATGCCACAGCAGAAAATGTAGTTACAGGATTATTCACTTGTAAATAACAGCTCTGTGGCAGCAAACAACTAATGTCATTAGCACTCAGGGCTCCCCTTACCAATTGTCCAGAATCCAGACTGCCATGAATCGATTACTATTAGCCTCGGTAGATTTAAGGTATGACTAAGCTCCTCCCCCTTCTTTATCTGTCTTGCTTTTTCCTTATATAACACTGCACTCAAACTTTCTGGCCAAAGATTTTTCAGTCTTACCTTTGGTCTTTGGCTGACAGGAGTCAATTGCACACTTCCTGACGTGGCACTTAGGGGTGAACAAGGTTTGCTAGAGTCTCCTACAGACCTGTAGACATCCAAAATGAGATTGAAAAAGTGAAAAATGGAAGTAACTACTAGAATCATGTCTCAGATCCTGAGTTAGGACCCCTCATCAATAGTCTTGGACAACCGATGTCATCTGTCTTATGTCACATGGCAGGTTTTAAATACAAACAATGGAAGTTGTGAAAAAGCTATTGGACCTTTGTCCCATTTCCAGAGAGTTGAGCGTGATGAAGTCAGGGAAAGCCCATGAAGCCAGAGAAAGACATGGCGATTCTTCCATTGTGTTCAAGTTCTGCTGCATGGGTAATCAAGATACTATAAAAATGAAACAGTAATGGGTTAACTTTTACCTTCTTATACTGGTCATACTGGCAGGGGAAACACTGTCTTCTTTGGAGCTGTCCATAGCAACTGCCGCAGGAATAGACACTTCAATTGTCCTCCTTGCATTTTCTAGGCAATAAATAATAGCTTGATTCTGATGAGAACACAGCAACGTTGCACAACATTCATTTCATTTTCCCATTTTTCAAGGGGCATCACGTAACTCTTCACAATCGCACAGAATATACAGAGCAGACATAAAACATCAGGCTGAAGGTCTATTCAACCCCATACCCGCTCTCCGAAAATGACAGATATTGAAAGCGGCTATGCAGAGCAACTATGGACAACATGCATAGATCTAGAATGATTCTTCCATGGATAAACCCTCTGGCTTTTGGCAATCAGAGGATTAGAGACTTCCAGTTTCTCTACTTTGTTCCTTTAAGATTCTACTTTTCTTGCTGAATTTATGTTACAACAGCCATAGAAGTGCTAAAAGTGTTACGATCCCACTGCATGAGTCATGGCATACGCACCTGCATGCATACGCACACACACACGTGGTCGCTCCTCCACCTCCTTCCTCTCTCCCCCTCAAGTCCTTCCCTTTATGCATCCTCTGTGGTTTAGGAAGGGGGAAAGGGCGGGTGTCCTAGAGCATGTTTACATGCTCACGCACAGTTCTGCCTGTAATTGCAATAACTCCAGGAAAAGATAAAGCAGCCCTCGCCTGCTGGAGAGTATTTTTGTTTATATAGTTACACATGGCAGCTAATCTCTGAAGCTTGAATCAGCAAGAATATTCCCTTCACTAATTTATCTCTTCAGATGACTGGAAGCTTTAGTTATTTCTTTCTATTAGCACTGGCAGTAACTCAAGCAAGGTAGTCTGATGGAAAGAGCACCCAAAGACCAAAAATTAAAATGTGGTTGAGAATTGGATAACCACTCTGCCATGATTTTTAGAAGTCTGATGTAAATACTTAAGTCTTTTTATAAAAGAATGAACGGAGTTCAATCCAGTTGGCGGCCGGTCACAAGCGGTGTTCCCCAGGGCTCAGTTTTGGGGCCAGTTCTGTTCAATATCTTTATCAATGATCTGGACGAGGGGATCAAGTGCACCCTCAGTAAGTTTGCAGACAACACCAAGTTGGGTGGCAGTGTTGATCTGCTCGAGGGTAGGAAGGCTCTGCAGAGGGACCTGGACAGGCTGGATCGATGGGCCGAGGCCAACTGTATGAGGTTCAACAAGGCCAAGTGCCGGGTCCTGCACTTTGGCCACAACAACCCCATGCAGCGCTACAGGCTGGGGTAAAAGGGGCTGGAAAGCTGCCTGGCAGAAAAGGACCTGGGGGTGTTGGTTGACAGCCGGCTGAACATGAGCCGGCAGTGTGCCCAGGCGGCCAAGAAGGCCAACGGCATCCTGGCCTGTATCAGAAATAGTGTGGCCAGCAGGAGCAGGGAAGTGATTGTGCCCCTGTACTCGGCACTGGTGCGGCCGCACCTCGAATACTGTGTTCAGTTTTGGGCCCCTCACTACAAGAAGGACGTTGAGATGTTGGAGCGTGTCCAGAGAAGGGCAACGAGGCTGGTGAGGGGTCTGGAGAACAAGTCTTATGAGGAGCAGCTCAGGGAGCTGGGGTTGTTTAGCCTGGAGAAGAGGAGGCTGAGGGGAGACCTCATCGCTCTCTACAACTACCTGAAAGGAGGCTGTAGTGAGGTGGGTGTTGGTTTCTTCTCCCAAGTAACTGGCGAAAGGACGAGAGGAAATGGCCTCAAGTTGCGCCAGGGGAGGTTTAGATTGGATGTGAGGAAAAATTTCTTTACTGAAAGAGTGGTTAAACATTGGAACAGGCTGCCCAGGGGAGTGGTTGAGTCCCCATCCCTGGCGGTATTTAAAAGACGGGTAGATGAGGCACTTAGGGACATGGTTTAGTGGGCATGGTGGTGTTGGGTTGACGGTTGGACTCGATGATCTTGGAGGTCTCTTCCAACCTTAATGATTCTATGATTCTATAAAAGATTCTCAGCAGAGAGGACTGATTAAAAAGCCTAGTTCTGCCCATCAGTGACTATGTAGCAGAACTGTTCTGCGGACAAGGACATAGCAAAGAACAGATTTACCACGAAGCATGATATTTACAGCAGACTAATTATTAAGAAACTAACTGTAGGAGAAGTTTAGCTGATATGTTTTTATCTCTCTGAAGTAAGGAGTGTTTGTACCACACAGCCATTAACAGCAAGTGTACTGCTGACCACAACCGCTGATCCAATCAGATATGGACAGAGAACTCCCAAAAGGGGAAAAACATTGTCTTACTAGTTCTTGTTTCTCCCGAAGCTGGGTACTTACCAGTATAATTTAGCGATGGGGGCAGAACAGGAGATATCATCGGGGGGACCATATCGGCAGCAGCTAATTTCTGCTGGTCTATTAGCTGCAACAGTTTATCACGTGCTTCTGCACTCTGACGATTCAGCTCTGCTATTCTTTCCTCCAAGCTCTTCGATACCATGAGATGAGTCTACTTGGATAATTGGATAATGACTTCCAATTAAAAACTTACAATTTGTGCCTTCAGGGAGAGCATGCAAGATTCATTCAAGTACTTCTATGCATTTAATTTTCAAACTGAAAGTAAACATAATTATATAGCACCTCCTGTGGAAAATCTGATTTTGTCCCTTTCACTGTCCTGTATCTAGGTCCTTAATTGACTAAATGCAACAATATTTTAAATTGCTCTTCCTACAAATAGGAAAAAACAGCTATTGTCTGTATAATTTTTAAAAAAAAAAAAAGAAAACCCCCAACCATCCAGCAATTAACCATAATTAAGAAAATATTTAATCAGAGAGACACATATTCAGGATGGTGTGGGGAAGCAAAAGCAGATTTCTAGCAGAAGTATCCTGGAACTCATTTTTAAACCAAGTTTTCATCTACTTTGACCCCTTCCCCTCCAGTAATTGCTTCCACAAAAACAACACTTAAAAACATTTGCATCATCTGGTACAACTAAATGACTAAACATTACACAACATAATACAATGTGGAAAGCGACAACATGCTCAGCCTACATTTACATGAGGAACTTTAAAATCTTGAGGATCCTTCATCAAACAGTAACTCAGCCACTGCGATGGAACAAAAGTAAAGACAGTCGCAAGGGCAGGGATTAGGCATTTCTGTGATGTTAACTCCACTCACTGGGGTGCCACTGAATAGCTGCTTAGTTGCAGATTAAAGGTTTTTCTGTGTGAACTGAAGCATTCAAGTTCTCTCCTTCCCAAAGACTTTGGGATTTTCACCACACAGCAGGACAGACAAGCCAGATCCAACTAGTACATACACTATAATAAAGTACTTGCACCAACTTTAATCTCATGGGCTTTTGGGTCACAGTAGCAGAAGAGAGGTATGGCATGGATTTAAATATGTAGTTTACAAGCTTGACAAGAACCTGTGGGTTGGTGCAGTGCCTTCACTGTTAATATTATCCAAGCTACAAGAGGTATACCTGATCACGTTGCAATCACACCTCTTTTTGCAGCATAACCTTGTCCTGAACTTACAAACGTGCTGCACACTTTTCAGCACTCATATACAAAATAGGCCAAATATGAGAAACTATTGTTGAGCTCCTTAGGGAATGATTAAAAAAAAAAAATATCGTGAGTCTCCAAGCAAATGAATGAAGAGAATATTTGTTTTACTACTCTTTTCCTTAAAACAACTGACAACAGGAAAGAAACAGTCTTAAAGCATCAGTAAGCTATGGGGAATCCGATCAACAGAAAGGGGAATCCAGCCCTCCTTTTCTGTTAAATTCTCACCTGTCCTTGTGAAAAGTCTGGACCAGAATTTGCAATTCCTATTGGGTCTGGCTGATGTAGGCAGTCACTTGTGTCTTCAGAGAAGCCCCTAAATTTGTTCAGCTGAGCTTTAATTAGAGAGTTCTGCCGCGTGAGCTCAGCTATCTGTCCCAGCAGATCACCATTTTGAAATAACTCTTCAGCTGTACTGTTTTTTCTAGTGTCACCTGTGCAGGACAGACTGATTTTCTCGTGGGAACTCTCCAAGTCTTTGTCTGCAGGAGGAATTGGTTGCCTTTGAGAGATGAGACAGTTTTCTTCAGTTATGCTCTCTGTTCTCAGGGAGGAAGGTGAGCTCCTTTCCTTGCATGGCTCTCTTTCGGTGTTTTCAGGCGACTGAGAAATGGCTGTAAACACTACAAACAAGGAGTAAAGGAACAGTAAGGAAAGAGACATGTGATCCTCAACAAGGAAACTAACAGTGACTTTATTGCATCAGGCTACTAATAATCAGGCAGGAACTTGAATGGTAACGTCTAGCCTGAATGGTGTTATGTTACTGATCAAAGTCACTCTATGCAAGATCCTGCTGCAAGAACTTACCAGGTTTAATATTTCCTACTGCAAATAATCTTACATTTACATGATTTAATTAGAGATTGAGAGAGAAGTCAGAGAGAAGAAGATTAATTGTTTTGAATTTCTTAGCTGATAGATCAAACGCTACTTCTTAGTTAGTCCTCCATTTTCCAATATCCATTTACCTTACCTAATAAACTGTAAGTTTGTGTTTTAGTTCTGATATTTATACTGGGTTGGTAACAAAACTTTTAGAATAATAAAACAAAATAATACAAGACTTTTGGCGTAATAATAAACTAGTTATTTACTCAGCCCCTAAGAAAGGGGAAGCACTCTAGCCAACAAAAGTAGTTAGGTATTTTTTGTGGTCATCATTAGCAAACTGATAACACACCACACACATGACCAAATATGGTCAGCACTGTCAGCTGCTACATGTTAAGTCCAAGTTGGATTTTGTGATCAAAACCAGATTTTCCATGCTTTATATACCAAATAGCCTATTCCTTCCTAAGCTTTAGCTTTTGCCTCTTGAGCAGAGCATGACATTTAAAAATTTACACATAAATCTGTTTTATGAATATTTTTTCATAAAGAAATATTCAAGAAGTTTAACATTTGTTGAGCCATTTAGTATCCTTAACAGTCTTAAAAGAGTAACGATACATTTCTCACACAGCTAAATTATAGTGAAGTCTAGGAATACAGTTTTATATCCTTGCTTCAAATGACAGACAACATCTGACAGTTCTCAATGGGACTGAAGCCAGATGTTGTTCTTTGCAGAAAGCTACCTTTAGTTCACTTCCTCTTGATCTATTATGTGCCTCTTTGCAGCATAGGTGACCGCCAAAAGCTTGAACTAGATATAAACTTTCAATTGTCCTGCCAAGTCCTTAAATCAAAAGGACTTTCGGGTTAATTTTCTGACTTGGAAAAGACTTACAAAGCAACACAGCTGAATGGGGGGGAAAAAAAGGAGGAGGGAAGGCACAAAACCCCACTACTGTGCCCTGCTTCCTGTCAGCAACCATCAAGCTAGCCATAGACATAATTACTTGCCCCTCAACAACAGAGGGTTACAGGGCTCTAGCACATTCAGTGAGATGCACGTGGTTACGGTGACAGTTGCAGGAGGAAACAGCTAATTTTGAGAGTCACAAAGGGTCCTCCCTTCTGCTCGCTTCATTAAGTTTAAATGAGAAATACATCCCCTAATCACCCCTGATGAACCTTCTTCCTCCCAACAACCAGAATTGAGCTACTGACCTATAAAATTCCTGAAGCCTATGGATACTGACACAAGACTGCGTTAATCTGGTTATCTGGCACCACATAATTTCACCTAAAACTTCTTCAGCCACCTCCTGTGTATTAAATGAAACCCAATGGAAACCTGCTCCCAAAGCTTTTAGAAAAACCTCTGCTGGGAAGATTGGCTCCAAGCAAGAGCACGCAGCCTACAGACATCCTGGTTTGTCTGCAGCATGGGCTGCAGAGGCACTGAATTTCCAGTCTTCAGTGGTCCCACCATTAAAGGTGATGGAGGCTGGATTACACCACCAGCAGATGGAGATCTGGAGATGATGTGCTATACGTCATAGACAAAGAGCTACAGCAAATCATACAGAAGTGACAATCAAAACCAGTACAAAATAAAAATGCCAGTCTGGATTGCCACTGACAGGACTGCAGACAATAGATGGAGAACTGCAGGGGACAGAATGCCTAAAGGAAATCTAGCAACAGGCATAGAAAGAAAAGAAATGCGTATCTGGGTGCAGAAGTAGGATATTCCAGCTATAGGGCCAATGTGTCCAAGCATACAGATTAAAAATATTCCATAGAAAATACATCTCCAAAGGTAGTGCGCAATTGAAACAGTAACACACTACACAGACTCCCAAGTCTACTACAGCCAGAGAAATCTCACCATTCGGGAGGGCAGACAATTCCTGACTGCTCTTCTGGCGAGGTGGTGACAACAGCACAGCTGGCTGGAAGACATGAGATGGCAAGCTTCTACCTGATCCCGCACCACCTGAGGCACCTGGCCTCGGGGGAAACTTGAAAGGAGGTTCTTCCTGTGGGAATTTCAGCATATTCTCCTTGTTGCCTGCATCAGTCCTGGGCTCACAATAGCTCAAATCAGTTTTTTCTAAAGAAAAAGACAAAGCGGGGATAAAAGTTAATGGGAAAAAAAAAAAAAAGGAGAAAAAG